ACATTTGTGCAATTCATTATGCATTTTGCCAAGTCTCACCTGAATATGCTTCTTATCAACCCTGCCTGTGCCTGCTCAGGAGCAGTTCAGAAGTTCTCACTCTGAGCAGCTGATCCCAACCCCACAGCGAGTCCTTTGGCTCCTCTGGCTGCTCATGGAGGTGTCTCCCCAGACCAGCCACCTAATCCCATGCTGGCTGTGCATTTCTTTGGGACTGACCCACCAGTGCAAGCTCAGCTGCACCTGTGCCATGCCTCAGTCAGGTGGGAGGATATGATCCGAGGGATGGCTTTGTGCAAATGGGCTTCATGTGCTCAAAACCTCACAGCCAACCTGGCAGCAGATAAAATGAAGTTGCCCTGCGGTGGCTTAGTAGTGCTCTTGACAAGGTGGCAGGGTTGAATTTTCAGTGCCCATCCACCCACTGCAATCCTGACTTCATTCCCAAATGCAAGTCTTGGAGTGCAATTATCCTTGGAGCCACTGAAGAAAAATAGAGGGGAAACATTTTTCTTTTAAACTGCATCTTTAAGGATGGAAAGCATTTTCAGTTTATGGAAATGCCTTTTAACCTAGCTCTGCTGGGTATAAAATGAACTTTATTTTGAGTGACAGTCTGCTATTTTCTTCTCAGAATCTTCAGTCTAACTCTATTTCATGGTGTGTCGACTCTCTATATGATTACTCCAATATTCAGGTGCAGAGAAGTAAATGTTTCATGAAAGTGATGTCCCTGTCAGTAGTGTGCATATCATCTGGCCCCCTGAGCTGTCAGTGAACAGATTGTAGAATTACCATTAGAATACAGGAGCCCATAGCTGCAGGCAGTAAATGGAGAGCCGGTAAGCATATGTCACCAGCGTGATATTTTAGCTTCGTATGAATTTGTAAAGTGGAAATAAGCCAGCAGTACCACAGCAACTGCTAACTGTTCTGACTATCCATGTTTCCACATTACACCATATGTTCACAAAATTTGCAGCAAAAAGGAATAAAAACTGCTTTCCACTTTTGTGAAATATAACTTTGTGAGATGGGGTTTAAAATTTCATTGGTCTAATGCTTTAGAGATGTGTTTACCCTGATTAAATTTACTTTTTAAGATATCCCACGATTTCTGTGGATGTCTACCTAGGAAATTATGTTTAGCTGCCAGCAGGATAAAAACAAGGCACATCTGGTTTGATCCTCTAGGGAGAAAGGTGTTAGATACATTTGGATTTCAAAGTCAAATTATGTTTTTAATAGTATTCAAGCTGAGGTTGGATAGCAGTCCATCCATGCAAGCAGAGACAGAGTTCAGTGTTGACTATCACTTTTTCTTATTAACCTTGGCAAATTTTGTCTCTCCAATTTTCCACCAATGTTTTGAATCAAAAAGAAAGGCCCTGGGTCAGTGAAGAGGTACTTTTGCCTTAAATGTCAATTCTTTGTTCTCAAATGCTCATTTGACAAATTATAGGAAGACACAGTAATTCTGCTAGATCTTAAACCACCACGAAAAAAAGGAAAAACTAGTTACATTGCTTTCCATAGCACATATTATACATTTTTTCATTAGTAGTAACATTTATATTGAAGAAAACAGAGACTCCTCTTTCTAACTCACAACACCTTGTGCAAAATAGTAATTGACAAAAATATTGGTATTTGGACACATCTTAAGTCTGAATTACATTCTGCAGATACCTGTGCCTGTCTGCCTATTCTGGGATAGGAAATGGGAGGCACACCACATTGGAAGGACATTATGCTTTCAAGAGATGCAAGACACTTAGATCTCAAAACAAGATGGTGTAAATTTAGGATATAGAAATCAACTAGATCAGGGCCCGGTTTCTCTGATGAACAAAGCAAATTATGATCCCTTTACCCAGGAGCTTATCTGGAACTATAGCATGACACTATTATTAGATGGAGAGAAATAATTTTTTTTGCCCTTTGACATAGAACATTAGCTTTTGGTCACCCATTCCCAGTTGCAATATGCAATTATTCATCACCTATTGTCTTGTAGAGGCTAACAGGCAAAATAATCACAACTGTAATTATTGATAATGATTCAACCAATTAATAAATAGGTGGCTATCTTCTCAGTTGGAATGTGATAAATAGTAGTGACATCAGAGATATTTGAGTCTTGGTAACTGACAAGGTCATACCTTCTGGAACATATACACAAAAACTAAAGATATGTTTAATTATTTTCTTTATGAAAAAAAGAAACAGACCACCCTGTCAAACATCATGACCTTCTGAGCATCTTTGAAGAGTAATTTATATGATAAAGCATTTGGGCAAGTCCAGATTTTATTTCTTGAAGGTGAAAAAGAAAACATAGCTAGCTGAGTTAATTTGCTCTCTCCGTGGGATTATTACTATGCTGTTTGCTGGCCATCATCTGGAATTGTAAATCTAATTAGTTTTATGTGTACCTATGACTTTCCTATGGGTGTCTTTATACAGCTTAGCTATACATAAATACAATAATAATAAAGTATAAAAATAAAGCAAGACTAGGAAGAGATTACAAAATAAGGCACTCTGAAAGACTAAAATGATGAATTGGCAAACAAAACCAAATCCTCAGTCATTGGGTGTCCTGTGAGGGAATAGTCTCACTTGAAATCTGAAATTTCTCTTTTTTTTTTTTTTTTAACCTTCTTTATGTGTGTGCTTGTGTGTGCATTCTGGTCCATGATCTATAACTGCACCAAATTTGAAGGTACTAGTCAGTGGCATTGTGAAAAATCACCAATGTGCCTGCAGCATACGTTCTTGCTTTCAGCAATCTTCTTGGCTACAGATAAAGAGATTTGATGACCTTTATTCACCTTAATTTTTCCAAACTGAAGGCTTGCTGCACCTTTGTATAGATACAAAGGGATTGGTTCACACACCATGGCTGACAAATGCATATTCAGACTTGAGGAAAATAACTGAAAGTTCAGCTTTTACTGTCAGGGTAGTTTGCCTTTCTTCACTCATAATGACTACATAAATGAACATAACAGATCTTGGAGTATGGAGACTAATCACCATGAATCACTTGATAAACAGCTCTATTGTATGGATAATAAATAATGTGTGTTTGTTTGTGGTTTTGTTCATTGCTACAGTTTCAAAGAAAGCACCTGCAACTTTGATTATAATCTCAAGAACATAGCTGGGCTTTGTTTGTTCTTCTTGAGCTAATCAGAGCAAATTTGTGGTGTTGATTTTATTTAAAAGGCATTAGTCCTGGAATTCTCATGCTATATGACAGGAAAACCTTCCATTCAAAAAGATTTGTAATACAAGAAGAGATTAGTGCTTTCCACCCTACATTTTCTATTAAACTTAATGATGAACTTATTAGTGCATCAGATGACATGAAGGAAACTCTCTGTAAAATCTAGATTTTGAATCAATATATTCTATTATTATTACATTCATATATAACATGGCTATACAAAGAATGATTAGTAAGATTTTTTTTACATCTATTTAACTCTGTGTGTGTGTATATATATATATATGGGGTTTTTTTTTGGTAAAAAAATCACATAATTTTTATATTATGTTCCTGTGTTTCAGGTATTCATCATACTGACATTCCACAAAGCCTGGCTGCTGCTAAACAATTGGTTTTAAACCATCAGTTGCCATCAATACCAAAAATGACAATAACAAGACAGTCTCAAAGGCCCTTTTTTGCATACAACTCCAGTTTAAAGTATGACCTCTCTGATATCATGCTTCTCTCTGTATACATAATTGTATGTAGAGAGGATAGAAATCTTGAGTATACTTTTAGGTCAGCCTGCCAATACCCACTTGTAATTTTATGTTATCTTTATTGACATATTTTTAGATCTTTTGATTGACATTGAGAATAAAATTAGCATATAGTTGAAGCTGATTGGGTTCAAACTTCAACTATGCTAAGTAGGAACATAAAGTAATTTATCCCATTGTTTTATGGTTTTAGTTGGAATTATTTTCTTATTGAAACAAAGATATTTGAGGAACTTGAGGTGATTTTTTTTCCCCCACTTAGAGATTCAATTAGTAGAATCTTTCCTTTTTGACCATTTTAAAAAGAAAATTGTGATTTTCTTCATTTTGGAATCATAGAATAATTTGGTCTGCAAGGGACTTTTGAAGATCATCTAGTTCAACTCCCTGCCATGGGGGTTCATTCCCACACTCAGGACTTCATCCAACCTGGCCTTGAATATTTCCAGGGATGAGGCATCCACAGCTTCTCTGTTCAGTGCCTCACCTCCTCAGGGTAAAGAATTTCTTTCTTTTGTCCAAGATAACCCTACTGGCTTTTAATCTGAATATACACTGTCTCTTACCCTGTCACTACAGGCCACAGTAAAAAGTCCTTCTTCATCTTTCTTATTAGCACCCTTTATATACTGAAAGGCTGCAATAAAACCTCTCTGAAGCTTTCTCTTCTCCAGTCTGAGAAAACCCAACTCCCTCAGCCTTTCCTCACATTGAAGGTGTTTCAGCCCTCTGGCCAATCCAGTAGCCCTCCCATGGACCTGTTGTAACAGGTTCAGGTCGTTCTTCTGCAATACTTTCCATTCATCTCCCTTTTCTGTATCTAGAACTTAATTGCAACAGACTTTTTTTTTTTTTTTTTTTTTTTTTAATTCTAGTAAATAGTCCTCAAAATCCCACCTATCTACCTAAGTCTAAAAGTGGGAAAAGAAAGTGAGAATAAAACCATCTTCAAGTAGCCCTACAGGCTTGAACTGGAGCAACAAGGTGAGGAGCAGGGGGCAGTAGGGGATCTGTGAGGAGGATAGAAAGAGTTGAATGAAGGTTTGCTCTGGATAAAACCTGCTTAAAAGGTGGAAGGTACCCCATCTTTCACAGCCAAATTCTGTCACAGGCCATGTGTATCTGAATAAGGGTCTTTCCACCAGCTATGGTGGAACACAAGAATAAAACAGAATCTGATCATTTAAGCCCAAGCTCCAACAAGGACATGTCATATTCCCTACCATATCTGCAGAGTGTTGAGTGTTCGTGAAACTTTATCTCACGTGCAATTCCAATATCACCAAGGATTTCAGTACACCAGTTCTTGCAGTTCTCCGACTCCTGGAAGCCTGCAACAGCCAAAGAATAAAAGAGTAGACATGATATTTCCTCACTATCAAAAGGAAAACAAAACAAAACAAAACAAAATAAACAAACCCTGGAACACTGAAAAAAGTAAACTGTGCTGGACAAGGAGAGTCATAAATTTATTTTCTCCTTTTTTTTTTTTTTTCTTTTTTTAACTTAGGTACTTCTGTGAAACAAATTTCTTCTTAAACCTGTTTCTTAATTACAGCATCACAAATAAGAACTTTGCAAACATCTGTCAGTGTTTGTATACATTACAAATCAATACGTTAAAGAAGAAATCTATAGAAGGCTTGCTATCCAGGCTGAGGCCTCATTTGCCAAATTCTATCTGAGTTCTAACCTATAGGAAGATTATAGATATATAATAAATCCTGAAAATTATGTTTGCTCTGGAAATGCTGACAGACCCTTTGCCATAATTACAGCATGTTACTATAAATACATGTCTGTGTAGCATATACACGTACTGTACCCACATACATATACTGTCTGCAGTGGTTTATTACTAATAAGCATTTCATGTTTGATAATTTTTTAGAAGAGATGCTGCAGCCATGTCCCGAACACATTCTAACAACAAAGACAATAATACAATTATTACTACATGTATTGTGACTGATTCACACAACTGTCACTTTTGATGGTGTATTGATACAACACACTGCAAGAATAAGCAACTAGCTGATATATATTGCAAAAGATAAACCTGCAACAGCAGGAATTGTGCTTTATTTAAAGAAGCAAAAGACAAACATGCAGATAACAGAACTATCTCAATTACACGTTTTCTAGCATCTCACATTATTCTCTCCAAAGCAGGTTTTAACAACATTTGTGCTTTCTAGGGAAAAAAAAAAAAAAAAAAAAAAAAAAAAAAAAAAAAAAAAGTAACAGCAACCCACACCCCACTCCCCACTCCCCCCTCCCCAAAGTTATTTAGAAAGAAAGGAGCATCCACTCAGGTGCCCCAGCACACATTACTCCTGCTCTGTGTGAGAAGAAGGCAAGAGCTCCATTACAGTATGATATCCCTTCGGGGTATTGTCGCTGTTGTCAATCAAAACAAGTTTTTCACTAACACATTTACTAAGAAAACCTTGTCTTTTTGCAAGGGGCCACTGTCAAGACTTGTTAAGAATAAACAAGGCAAGACCATTCCCGTTTACATTTGACATCAGAAGGATGCACATTTAGCTGTTTCTCCAGCTCAGCCTCTCCAGTGGGCAGAATCCTGGAGTATGCTGAAGCAGAACAGCCTGATATGTAAAGACAGGCTTGGAGTGAGTCAGTGAAATATAAAGAGAGCATACAGGATAAGGAAACCACAATTAGTGTGGGGAGGCCAGCAAGGGAGCTTATCTGTGAAGTTTTCTGAGACACTAATTGCAGTTTCTTTCATCAAGATGAAGACATCTCAAAAGATAAACTAAATAATTCTATATATGCAAAACCATAGTCATTCCTGCTGGCTAATATTCAGATTACTGGACTTATTCTGCAGCTCTGGAAGGGCAGACCTTATTCTAAATCACCAGAATTGTTTTTATCTTGAGTTTTAGTAATAATCAGTGCTTAATCTTAAAGACTAAATCCTCGGAGTCATGAGTTCCTAAGATAATCCCATGCTTTATTACAGTAAAAAGCAGGATTTTTGTTGTTATGGTCAAAAATTAGCCTTAGAGCTTCCCCAGAGTTCCTAAATAGAAAGGCAAGTAAAAAGAAGCAGAAAATTTTATTCAATTTTAAGCAAAACAATGGGTTTTCTCTTCTTTTTGTACAGGCAACCAAAGTCATAACTCAGACAGCAAAACCAGAAGGGGAAAATAGCAGAAGGTCATGGGAAAAAATCTGAAATGGAAGTAATTTTTTTCTAACTATCCTACCTTTAGGAAGATAAGAGATATGAGAATGACATTGTTGTTGCAAGAAATGCCTGAAGCATGGAGCAGCTGAGCAGGATTTTTGATAACTCCAGACAAAATGAGACTACAGAAATATCAACTAATCAATTTCTTACTGAATCAGCTTGGTGCCTTAGGTCACAGCATGGTTATTTATGAGGAGACCTCTGGATTTCATTCTTACTACCTATACCTAAAGGTTTTCCCTTGTCATTGACATAACAGTACTATTTCATGGAAAAATGCAGGAAAATTTAGCATCATATATGTTGAAGGCATATAAATGCGGAATATAAAAACTTCAATCCCATAAACCTAATCTTACACATTCTAAATTCTATTCTTAATTCTTATTCCTAATTTTACAAAAGAGGTCATACCATCAAAAACTACTATATCTCACTTTCAGAGAAATCATCCCTTACAGATATTTTCCGTACTTTTTTAAAAGTCTATTTACACTGGAAACATTCCAGTACTTTTCTTAATGACGTATGTATTTGTGTATAAAGGTGGCAAACTTAATCTGCATCAGTCTTTAATCAGTAGATAAAGGCACTATTGCACTATTGTAGTTAAACCAATTACTATTGATTCCACGTTTCTTGCAAAATACCATCACATTTTTGTATCTCATCACTAGAATTAGTAAATAGATATTGCATTTGATGGTTATAGTAAACATTTCTATCACAGCTCTTCTATGAAGACCCTTACTTACAGTAAAGGGTAGAAGCATTCTGAAGTCTAGTTATCCATTTGTTTTACAAGGTGTTATACCATGACTACATAAGAAATGAGAACTACTAGAGTATTTTTGCTTTGCTTTGCTGTTTTCTGTCATTTTATCCAGAAATTTGAAAATCTGGATAAAGACTGAACACATATTCAGAACTGGAAACAATATGTTTAACTTTATAGACATTAGATATTCCTTAATTGAATTTAGGATTGTCTCTGGGAAAAAAATAGTCCAGTTTGCAGAAGGCATGCTTGAGGGAGACAGAGCTAGAGAAATGCCTCCAAACAGCAAGGACAGCTGAGTTGCTCAAGGGAAAAAGGGCCAACATAATAATAGCCATTAACAAAGAGCAAGTACACCACTGACTGAGCTGAAGGGGCAATGCTGACATGGTCCCGCTCTGGAGAAAGCAGTACAAAAATATGGGGTACTGGGAAGAATTTGAGGTAAGAGAATTGTTTATAACCTAATCCCATAATATTTCTGGAAGACATTCTATAAAGCACAGGACATATCAGTACTGTTAAAGGGAAAAGTGCCAGGCAGTGAAGTTGAGCATTGGATGGACCACCAGCCTTGTGCAGTGCATAATTGCTAGCATATTCCCTGGCAGGGGTTTTGCCTTTCCCAGTCAAGAGTTCTCCAAGACAATGACTGGGCACAGTTCAGGGGATAACTTGTGCCAGGACCATTCTCAAAAGGCCACATGAAGAAGAATGTAGTGGTTTGGGTGTCCCCCACCCTACACTTAGCTTTGCAGCAGTCAGTGCTGTACCCTCAAACACTCCTCTTGCCACAGACACTTCATGCAGCACGTTCCCACAGCTTCATGCTATAAAAACATTACTATGGTAGATAACAGTCTTCATGTCCTTTCACGACCTACAAGCAAAAAAAAGATAAAATATAATAATAATAATAATAATAATAATAATAATAATAATAATAATAATAATAATAATAATAATAATAATAATAATAATATCTTTTAAAACTTCAGAGATGTTACAGGGGTCAGAGGATGCCCATAAGACCCTTGGCCCTAAGACTATGAGAGTGGTCTGTGGCCTTGTTTTATTTATTAGTATTGACAGATCAAAGAAACTTTCACTGATATCTGTGATGCATGCTACCTGATACCAGAGCTCTCAATACACATACAGTACTGAAAATACCACCACACATTTTGGTTTTTGCATTTGTAACTGTGTGATTACATCAGTACCCAATTCAATAAGACAAAACAGCAATACTTGATGGGAGAAATTTTATAAAATATCAATTAAATGCAAAAAGACATTCTCAGTGCCACAGGCTTTTAATAAGAAACCCACAAAGTTCAAGTCATTATCACCCTGTCCCTGGGAGCTGACAGATATAAGACCAGCTCTTCAAGACAGCCTGGTAATAAAATCAATACACAGACTCACAGTGGTGGCTGTATGTTCACCTAGGGCTATATGGCCTGCTGTGTTATGATGCATAATATTTCCAATTTCAGTAGCCACCGGCAGATAAAAAAACAATGTGGCTAACAAAAAATTCAGTGCTCTTTGATTCCCCAGCTGAAATGAAGAAAGCTTTTCCTAGCTGCTTCAGTTAGGTAAAAGGAAGCTAACGCTCATAACAAGAACTCATAGAGAGCAAGGGCACACGCTGACATTGCTGGATATATTACACATTTCCTTAACCACTTAGCTACAGCATCTCATTTTACTGTGCCACGGTACCAAGCAATTTACTGCATAAGAAATGCAGGAGACTAGCACTGTGGGTCTTTGGCATTTTAACAGAGCATACCAATGTGTAAAAGGAAAACAGTGCTCTTGAGGGTATGTTGACATTTCCTACCTTTAAGTATACACTTCCTGACTTGTACACTTGGAAATTTACATAAACTATCTGAAATACCCTGGGTCCTGAGACAGCACTCTACAACAAGGCCAAATGCTGCCCTTTGGCATCACCAGAGATTAGAAGATAATTTTACCTGCCACTTCTGAAACTTCAGGAGCATCATTCTATTATCTTTTACAGAATATATTGTGGCAGTGATTAATACTGCAGCAAATTAACACAGTTTTTCAGCCATATCCAGAATACCAAAACAATAGAGAATTATTTAATATCAGGAAATTTATGTTCGTTTGTATTGGGTTTGAATAGCAAGACTTTTGAGAGGGGCTACAGGGGTAGCTTCTATCAGAAACTGCCCAGAAGCTTCCCCTGTGTTGAACAGAGCCAATGGCATCTGGCTCTGAGGTGGGCCCACCTCTGGCCAAGGCTGAGACCATCAGCGACAGTGGTGGACCCCTGGGGTAACGGGGTCCTGGTTACCAAGGACAGGGTTAACTGTTTGCAATAACTGAGAAGAAATGTGGCTGAGGAGGCACGACCAGACACTGATTTTTTCAATACCATCTCACCCATTGCCAGGAATGGGTAAAGAGACTCTCTCCCTTCCAAGAAGAAGAGCATCCTTTTCCAGGGAGAGAAAAGGTAGTGGGGACGAGCTGCTCAGTGTTTGCTGCCATCTTTCCATATAAATAATTTCTTTGCCTCATACCTCTTGTTAGTAATATTTTGGTTGTTACTGTTTGTTCTCTTATCTCATAGTTGTTTCCAGTTAATAGTTATTATCTCAAGCTGTGATTTGCTACTTTTGTGCCACCAATTTTCAATTCCATCTTGCCAGAGCAGAAATGGGGAAGGGAAGGGGGGGTGAGTAATGGTGAGGTTTTAGCAGGATTATTAAACTGGAGAATACCAGTCCTAAACCACAACACATAGTCGAGAAGGGAGGAAAAAAATGAGCAACAGCAGCAGAAAGAAAAGTGAAAATATGTGAGAGGAACAGACCTACAGACATCAAGGTCAATGCAGAAGGAGGGGTAGGAGGTTCTCCAGACGCTGAAGCAGAGACTCCCCTGCAGCCTGTGGTACAAACCATGAGGAGGCAGCTGTGCCCCTGCAGCCCACGGAGCTCCACAATGGAGCAGAGATCCACCTGCAGCCTGGGCAGAACCTCAAACTGGAGCAGGGGGATGCCCAAAGGAATCTGTGACCCCATGGGAATCTCATGCTGAAGAAGGCTTCTGGAAGCACCTGTGGCCTTGTGGAGAGTGGAGCCCACACCTGAGTAGGCAGGACCCCATGAGGGATCCATGCTGGAGCAGGCTGTTCCGGAGCAGTGCATCCTGTGGAAGGCACTCATGCTGGAGCTGTTCACAGAGA